CCCGCACAGCCCCAGTCCCGCACAGCTCTGGCTCCTCGCAGCCCCGGCCCCGCACAGCCCCGGCCCCGCAGCCACGCTTACCTCGGGGCGCTGCGCGGAGCGAGGGCGCGGTGAGGGCGCGGTGAGGGATCAGTGAGGGATTCCCGGTGGCCGCCGCGGGAGCTCCCCGAGCTCTGCTGCCGCCACCGCGCTCCGCGCCGCTCTTTATGTCCCGGCGGAGGCGCGGGGCCCTCCCCGCCGTGACGCTCGGCGGGCGCTCCGCCAGCGCATCCTCGGCAGCGCCGCCGTCCCCGCGGGCTCCGCCGCGCTGCGCGGGGGCGGCGGCGGCGCGGGGAGCCCGGGAGGAGGCGGGAGCCCCCGGGGGTGGGGGCAGGCACGATCTGCTCCGCTCCGCTGCCAGCGCGGGGGTCCCGCCCGTCGGTGCGGCTCTGCCGGCAGCGAGCGCGGGGGGAAGCGAGCGCCGGCCCCGGAGCGCGGCTGTGCAAACCGTGGGGCTGCCCCACCGCCCTGCCCTGCCCGGCCCTGCCCTGCCCGGCCCGGCCCGGCCCTGCCCTGCCCCGCCGCCCGGCGCCCCCCTCCCGCTGCCCCCCGTGCAATGCCCGCAGCATTTGCTGTGCGTGTCCCTCGTTTCCCTTCCCAGCCCGTGCGAGAGCGCACGGAGCGCACAGGGAGCCTCCCTCGGCTCTGTCACGGGCGGGAGCTGGGGCGTACTCCTGGCGTGTACAGCAGTGTTAGGGGGAACAGCCGCACCCTGCATCCCCAGGCCGGCTCTCCCGGCGCTCGGGAGCAGCGCCCGTGCGCGGCTCACACGCACACGCGGCCGTGCCGCGGCCCCGCGGGCGGGGTGAGCGGCCCGAGAGGCCAGCGGCGACATAAAGGTCAAATTCTCCTCTCGCTTTCACCTGAGCAGCAAAGCGAGACAGTGAAAGTCTTATCTCATGAGTGGCACAGTCATGCGCATGTGATCGGGTGAAGAAAGGACTCAGCAGATAACTATACTCGTCTCCCGCATGGCTCACCCGGCGCCGTGTATACAGTTTGTGGTTCACCTAGCAACCGAAACATGTCAGACATTGTGCGGCCAAAATAGCCCCGGCCTCTGCTCCCGAAAGATTACAGCCCCAGCGGAGCGGGAAAATCCCGGTGGCTCTGGACAGCGACGGCTGCCATCAAATGCGTGTCACTTCTAGGCTTTCCAAATCAGCGGCAGAAACAAGGTTAAAGAAGGCAAGAGGGAGGGAGGTGATGGAAACGAAGATAAAGATGTAGGGAACAAAGTAAGGGAAAGAAAACTGTGCGATTTGGCTTAGTGGGTGAATATCCTGTTATTTTCAGGAGCCAATTATAATTCTCCAGTCTACACTTTTGGGGTGGTTTTGGCCGCTTCGCAATGATAAACTGCATTTGGGAGTGTTAATGTGTAGTTAAAGATCATCAAGTGCTTGCAGCAAGTTGTCCCTGCCTGTCTCACAAAACAGCAACCAAAATAGCCTTGTCAGTTCAAATAGACAGAGTCTGGTGGCAAAACGTGCATGCTTCAGCTAACTGAACTGGGTTAGAAACCTCTGGCTAGCGTTTGGAACCATATGTTAAATTAATTATGGGTAGCATTGGAACTACCCTGTGGTTACTTTGGTTGGACAAACTGGAATCTGCCAAGTGGCCTTGATCATTCTAGATTTCTAGACAATTAATTATGTAAATATACTTCTAGAATATGGCTGGTCTTCACCTGACTTCCTTAAAACTTGGGGGTTTTCTGCCTAAAATTGTCACCTGAAACTATTCTCAGGGAGTTTTTATGTCTTTTGCTCCAGATTATGTTGCATACCTTTACTGTATCAGGGTCACACTTTAGAAATTGACATAGGGAGTGGGGGTATTTTAAATTATTTTCTGTGTGAAAAAAGAGAAATCCGAGAAGCAACAGAACCAAAGAGACAGTGCCACTTCTGTGCCACATAGAGCACTATTGGATTGGAAACACACTAAAAATAGGGACTTCATTGACACAACTTAAAGAAGTTGCATTTTATTCCAAGCCTTTTGCTGATGAGAATTATGAGTATTTTCATTATGTAAATGTGAGATAGACCACTTGCAGGAAAACTATCAGGAAAGGTAGATGTGAAAGTGATGAATAAAAACTTTGAGAAAACAGTGTTTCAGCAGGAAAAGGGACTGAAAAGAAAATTATACCCAGTGGAAATCATACAGAAAATTCAGGATTCCATGACAAACACTGGACTATTTTGCCAGCACCCGGGTACAAGTAATGAATTAACTTGGGCTATAGAATACCACCATGGTCACAGGATCTGGCTCTTGGAGTGTCTTTTTCTGGAAAGTGAGATGGCTTTGGACTGTGCTGGTTCCTGGAGGGATGAGCAGCACGGTGCCAAGGCTGTTCCTGCTCCCCTCTGCCTGGGGCATCACAGGGATCACCAGCTGGGTCACCTCCTTTGATCTTAATAGGGCCAGAGGTTCTGTGAAGCTGGGAGGAATTATCTGATAATTCAGGTTAATCACTTGAGAAACAACATGTCTCTTCACATAGCAGGTAGTTCAGTTTGCTGGTAATTATTGCTGTATTTTTCTTCTTTGCTGGTAATTATTGTAATTATTGTATTTTCATGTACACATTACTGTGGCACTGATTTCAGTGGGATGCATATGAGTTCACAGGCTTCAAATGGTGATCTTGCAGTTTCTTTGAAGGGCTTTAAGATCATCTCCTTCTCACCTGCTCTCCATTTCTACTTTTGTGCCACCCTGCTTCTAACAGATGAACTAGAACTTATTTCTATTTAAAAAGATTTCCATTACTTGTTCTTTTCTACCCTTAATTCCTATTGTTCTAGCTTCTACTTTTCTCTGAACAGGATATTACAATTTTTTTCTTTTCATCTTTGCATTATTTTCATTTTCCTCATTTCACAGACTTTCCACTCAAGGTGCTTTTTTCTGTATTTCACTGTTGTAGTATACCCAGTTTCTTTTTTTCTGTTATCTCTTTCCTGTTCTATTCTTTCTCTGTTTCTTTTCCCTCTCACTGTTCCTCAAGCTTTTGAGAAGTGCCAGTGTTCATTTCTAGTGCGCTCTCTCGGCCTGAGTACATTTCATCACCTGGAAAATGCAAAACATGCGGTTTGATCCTGTTTTTCCAGTTATGTCTTCCTGGGGTAACAAAACCAAAGGAGTTCCTTTATTCTGTATTAGCTGCAGGGGGCATTTCATGTTCTTAATGACAAGCACAACTTTGCAGGGGGTGCACTGATAAACTAAGTTAAACTAAACAAAACTTAACTAAACCAAACATGTAAAACCTAACACCTAACACCCTCCCCTTTGAATTTTCAAGTTAAAAAAGAAATATTTGGAGGTTGAATGTACTTTATGTGATTCTTCCTCATCAGTGTTTGTTCAAGGTCAAATGCTGTATTATAAAGAGCATTTATATTTTTTACACCAAATTAATATTATTACTGAATTCCAGTTTTTGGGGTTGCTGCTGTCTTACATCTGATTTTTTTCACAACTGATTAGGAATAATAGGAATATTTTGAACATTCCGAAGGCTGGATTAGCAGCAGTGAGGTTTGGGGGTCAGCATTGTTCTCGGTGTGGCTCTACACTGAAGTTGTGGGTTTCTCTCCTCCTTACTTTTCAACTTAATCTGCACTGCTCAAGTCTAATTAATCAGCCATTATGTGGGTGAAGTTATTTCTATGGAAATGGCAGAGATACCCACAAGTGTCTGTTGTTGCCAGATTACATGAAGCATTACTCCTGCAGAAGCCTGAGCCTGGCTACCTGCCAAATACCTGGACTGAGAAAGAAATAGCAGCATTTATTATTATTTTTTATGACAGAACTGACACACAGGCCACTGGGAGAAGAGACAGAGGCAGCAGCATAAAATATGTTGGGTTTTAACCTAAGCAAGAGAGCTAGAGGTACAGGGAAACGAAAAACCTTTTTTTTTCCTTATCCTACAAGAAGTAGGATATAGTGCAAATATGGTATCAAGTTTTCCTCACCATCACCCTTAAAATCACAGATTAGTGTGAGCTGAACAGCCCTGGGCTAACTGGTTCAGTCTGTATCAGACCTTTCCATGTGAGGCTTATTTATATTCCATTGTCTTGCAGTTAATGTATGGGGTAAAAGCAAGGGGCTGTTTGAGCTGTACAATAACCAGCAGAGGTGGAGCTTTCAGCCCTGCACAAACTCCTCTGTGGGAAGTGACAAATGTCACATCCACGCTGACCCTGCCTCGGGATGCTGCCAAGGGAAGGCAGCACAACCTTTCAGCCAGGGGCCAAGCTTTTCCTCATAATTACTCTTGGATTTAATGGCAGGTAATATATTTGATCGAGTAGTGGTAGCCATGAATTGGGGCTGAAACAATAATTTTGGAAATATGAGCTTTGGAGTCAATAGAAATCTATACAGTTTAGAAAGCTCACGCAGAGTGCCAAGGGGGAAATGCAAGCAGAAGCCCGACTAAATCCATTGCTATAGCTACAAAACTAATAAGCCTTTCATGGTTGCTGTGCTTCCTCTCACCTCCAGACCAGAAATTCTAAAGATCACCACAAAAGAATGCAGAACTGTTTGCATTTTCAGGTAGAGAATGATAAAATAGGCACATTTTAAGTCCACGGCTCATAATGTAAAGCAAAGGCCTGTCTTTCTTAAACTCTTGCAAATGAGTGCAAAAAAAACCTGGGACAAGAGTAACTGGAAATGTGGTTCATCTTTCAGCTGCTCTGAATTTCTCACAGCTTTGAGTAAGCTACAAAACTTCCAGTACTGGATAAGCTGGTGACCAGTGGAACCAGGTGAATCACAGCCCCGGAAAAAAGGAGTTGCACAAGGGGCAGCTCCAATTTCACTGTGCCCATGGAGTTTCTCCGCTTCCTTCCCACATTCTGCTAGTAAACTGCTAACATATGTTGGGGTATACCTGGGGAAAGCATTCTGCCTTCGTTTAACTTCAGACTCCCAGTTATTTCCGTTTTTCAGGTTTCCTTCTCAGCTCCTGCTGCCCCGGCTGCTGGAGGCAGAGCCTGGGACCCCCCTGGCTCACAGCACGTACTGGATGTGGTCAGCTGCTTGCCCCTATTGCATTTCAAGTGCAGAGTAAAAGCAGAACATGAC